ATCAAATGCTCAAACCACACTTCCTTCGTAGCCTGCTGAGCCACAGTTTGACTGGGCAGTGAAATATGGTGGTATTGTTTGTTATCATGGCATCGTGAATAGGCCGATAATTTCGGTTACGGATCCTCAAATTTTACAAAAAATTTTAGTTAACAATGCATATGACTTTCCAAAACCTTCTTATATGATCACTGATCTTAAAGCAATATTGGGAGATGGAATATTAATGTCCGAAGGTGATGCACATAAACGACAGAGAAAAATGATGAATCCTGCATTTACATTTACAAATGTTAAGGTAATAATCTATTATTGCTTTATAAATGATACACTGTAATTAAACGTTCAGCCCACATAAATTAATAGGAAATGGTGCCAACAATTGCTCGCGTTGCGCACCAATCAAAAGAAATATGGAAAAATCAAATTGACGATGAAGAAGAAAAGCGGCTAATAATCTCGTCATTTTTATCAAAAGTAACTTTGGACATTATTGGATTGGTTGGTATGTCAATCAAAGATTGTATTCACACATTTAATTTTGAATAGATATTTATAATTTGATAATGTTTAGGATTTAAAGATGAATTCAACAATGTCACATCAGAAAATGAACTAGCGAATGCTTATACACGGATTTTTCATCACAAAAGAACAGCCTTGAATGTGGCACTTTCAGTATTAGTACATTACATTCCATGGATTAGGAAACTTCCATTACCAAGAAACCGTGAAATACGCAGATGTATTAAAATTATTGAAAAAGCCGCTTTAAAATTGGTAAAAGAAAGACAAGAATTTTTTAGAGAAGGAAAACCGATAGGCAAAGATTTGTTATCGTTACTAGTTAGTATTAATGAAAATTTACCTGAAGTGGAAAAAATGTCTGATACGGAATTGAAGCATCAAGTAAGAAGCAGTATATTAAAATAATAATAATTTATTAATATCTTTATTAAATAAATAAATATAAATATTTTTTCTCTAAAAAAATAATAATAATAATAAAATAAAAATTAGATAATGACATTCCTAACGGCGGGACATGAAACCACAAGTTCTGCGGCTTCCTGGTCATTATATTTACTCGCACAGCATCCTGAAATTCAAGATCGTCTTCGTAAAGAATTAATCGAAGCATTTCCTGATCCCAATTTTGAGCCGACATTTGATGAAATTAATTCTTTGGAATATTTAGAATGTGTTATTAAAGAATCCATGAGAATTATTCCACCAGGTAGTTAATAAACATTATATCAATATTTTTAAAATTTTAATAAAAAAAAAAAAAAAATAAAATAACATGGATAATTGTCTCCAAAAGTTCCAATCATTATTCGTACCCCTGCAAAAGACGATATCCTGCAAGAATAC